GTCAGCAAGTGGTTAAAGTGAGCCTGTCATGAAAGACATACAGCGGCGGTATTGCTAACCAGTTCCTGAAAATACTGGTCACCTGGCTATTCTTCGGAAGCAATGGCTTGACTGCTTTCCCAGTCATGGATATGAAACCAGGAAGCAGATCACACAGTTATTTTTCCAGGTCAGTGACCTCCAAAGTACTAAAGGAAGGAGAAGGATGACAGCCCTGGGGCCCTCACCTTGAAGACGCCACCAATGGCAGCTGTCATATTTCTTTATTGCTCCTTTAAAAGGTGAAGCTCCAAGCAAACAGCTAATCACCCAGATGGAATGTATACGAGGAGCGTTATATGTTTGTATTTCCATCCAGTCCTAATATTTACACTGATCTGTACAGCACAGTAAGACATATAAAGGGATATTCACAAAAGGATGAAGAGTTTGGAGAAGGCAGGAGCAGTGACCAATCTAGGCCAAATAGCCGATTTGGAAAAATTCTCCAATGCAGCTCACTTTCTAGTTCAGCTATGTTGTCCTAGATTTTTCACTTCTCCTACCTTCTCCAAACTCTTCACCCTTTTGTGAATAGCCCGACAGTCTCCTGCAGTTCAGTTCAACTTATAGGTGGCTGGACAGTGAAAGAAGCAGCAGACTGCTATCCTCCTATCAGCATGCTAGTTAGCATATGAACCCTGCGGCATAACAGATTAGTGCTGCTTTTCCTCCCCCAGTCTGAGCTCTGCTGTAAAACATGTGCAAGAGCCAGATACCAAGTCACATTACGGTACTTACAACTGTGAGCAATAAAAAATACATTGAAGGATCTATTAATGACCACACAGCCTAGTTAAAGGAGAACTATGAGGCGAGTGATTTCCACTCACCCTCATAGTTAGAGCCGACGTGTGACACATTTCGGCTCTATCGATCGGGAAGTGAGCGGATGTTTCCTGATCATCTCCCTGCAGAGAGCAGTGACTGTCAGTCATCACACCCTTCAGGGATTCCTCTCTCCAATCCTCAAGCGCTGACTGGAGGAACAGACGGGGGAGGGGGCGGGTACAGCTGGCTCTGTCTCTAGATAGGCAGAGCCAGCTGTCACTCACACAGCTGGGTGGATCCAGACAGTATTTTCGGAATCTGTTCTGGCTGCGGCGCTCTCAGTATACAGGGGGCAATCGCTCGCTATATACTGAGCTTTGGGTCACGGGAGGAGGTTAGTATATGTCCTTCCGTCACTCTAAAGAGAACTATGGGGAAAAACACTTTACACCATAGTTCTCTTTTAATTGACGATCGCCTCTATGCAATACAGTCAAATCAATTGATCAGCTGAAGGTAAACAATCGTTCAATATTAGGGTTGCACGGGTGTAAATAATCCATGTAGATGATTAGCTATTAGAGAAGAGCTCTGCATAGAAATGTTATGAACCCAAATATTGGGGCCACAAATCAGTTATACTCACCTGATCCCGGGATCCAGCCACATGTGACACAGCTCCCTCCAGCTCGTGATGGACTACAGTCTCATGCTTGGTTTACTCATTTGTAGTGAGATTGTAGTCCATCACGGGAGTGAGCTTGGAGCGGTGACTACTTTACAACACACACAGATACCATGGGGAACAAAAGTAGCCCCCCTCCAGAAGGAAGGACAGTGTCAGCACCAATTCAGAGATGATTTGAGGATCTGCAGCCGAGTGATACACAAATAAGATACAATTGTGTTCAGAGTTCAGGTACTTGAATGTATTTTTAGGATTACTCCTGAGTTTAGTGTCACCATGTGACCGGTCTCATCTCTGCCATTGTGATTCCAACTCAAAGTCCAGGTCATGTGATAGAAAATAAAAAAACATGCTGACAACACACGGCAAGTCTATTCCTTATCCTGTTTTATGGTGGCTCCTTTCACTTTGCGGGGTCCTATGGAGAATCCCTTGTGTGTGCTAGTAAGCTGCGTGTGTCTCCACAAACACACGGCAACGCAAGACACTCCCCTGAGCACTGGTCCCAATATCCTATTTTAGGGTGGCTCCTTTCCCTTGCAGGGTCCTATGGAGCCACCCTTGTGCTAGTAAGCGGTGTCTCCACAAACACACAGCACGGCAAGCCACTCCCTGAGCACTGGCCCTGATATCCTGTTGTAGGGCTTGTTCACACCATGAGCAGAACAGTTTGTTTCCGGATCAAAAAAACATCCCAATGTGTCTCTATGGTATTTCTGGACCAGCGCAGTCCAGACCAAACAAAAATACTGCTCGTCTAATTTTCTCTGGTCCGGAACACATGTAAACGCATCAAACATGTAAACACACTGGACTGCACCTGAAAGCCCATTTTAAGCTAAAAAAAAATGCACCAGAACTCCGAAAAAACACAATGCACTGCGTTTGCAGATCTGGTCTGAACATGGAGTGAACATAGACTTATGGCGGCTCCTTTCCCTTGCAGGGTCCTATGAGGTCACCCTTGTGTGTGCTAGTAAGCTGTGTGTGTCCACAAACACAGCAAAGCAAGACACTGCCCTGTTCCCTGCCCCTTTCTCCTCCTTCTCCCTGATAGTAGATGGACAGTGGCTGGAGACTGCTCTGTCCCTTGTCATCTTGTACTGGACTGAGAGTTCAGGGTAGCTGAGCTGAGAGAGTTGGAGCTGCTTGGGAACATGATGACTAAGTGTTTGGGCAGAAATGGAAAGAAATCCTTTGCTGGGTGATGTGTATTTGTCTGATCCGGACTCATTACTGAACAAAGTTTCAGAGTTTAAAGGAGAACTATGAGGTGAGTGATTGTCACTCACCTCATAGTTCTAGCCGACCTGTGACAATGAGACTGTCACAGGTCGGCTCAGTAGATCGGAAGGTGAGGGAACACATACCGGGTTCGCTCGCCTCTCGATCCTGTCACGGCTCTCTGCCATGACAGGGGAGGGGCTGGATTCCCCCGTCCCCGCACCGATCTGCCAGCGCTGACTGGCGGGAACGGACGGGGAGGGTACAGCTGGCTCTGCCTCTGGATAGGCAGAGCCAGCTGTCACTCACGCAGCTGGGCGGATCCAGACATAATTGTCGGGATCCGTTTCAGCTGCAGCGTCTCAGTATACCGCGAGCTACATACTGAGATTTGTGTCACGGGAGGATGCTAGTTTGTGTCCTCCCGTTACCCTTAGGAGAACTATGGGGAAAAACACTGACCCCATAGTTCTCCTTTAATACTCCTATAAGAATGCCACACTGTACTTGGCTGTTATTCTAAACCGCTCGCCTCAAACACATCCGTGATATAGGCCCAGAAGAAGTGTGCAGGCAATAAAATCTTACATCCCTTTCCAGGTCAGTAATCCAATACATTGAAGCAGGGGTAGGCAACCTCAGCACTCCAGCTGTGCTCAAACTACAAATCCCATCATGCTTTAGCCTCTGGAAGTCATGCCTGTGGATGCCAGAGTCCTGCAATGCCTCATGGGGCTTGCAGCTGAAGCGTCGAGGTTGCCTCCCCCTTTATTAAAGTAAGAAGGTCGGTATTAAGGCCCGGTAACTAGTATCGTGGACTAATCAATCCATTAAAGGAGAACTATGAAGGGAGTGATTTCAACTCAACCTCATAGTCAGAGCTGACCCGTGACAAAGAAGCTGTCAGAGGTCGGCTCTATCGATCGGGAAATGAGCAGAAACATGCAGCCGATCCGCTCACTTCCTGATCTCCTTCCTGCACAGAGCAGTGGACTGCCAGCCTCCGCTCCCCGCAGGGATTAATCGCCCCTCTCCAATCCTCCAGCGCTGACTGGAGGAACGGACGGGGGAGGGTACAGCTGGCTCTGCCTCTAGATAGGCAGAGCCAGCTGTCACTCACACAGCTCGGTGGATCCAGACAGTATTGTCGGGATTCGTCCCGCTTGCGGCGCTCTCAGTATATTGCGGGCAAGAGCTTGCTATATACTGAGCTTTGGGTCACGGGAGGAGGTTAGTATATGTCCCCCTGTGACCCTAAAGAGAACTATGGGGAGAAACACTTACCACGTAGTTCTCTTAACTCAGGACTGGACAAATCCCAGGAGCCAGGTCACTAATGCGCCTTAAAAATGACAGTTGGCATCTAACTTTTGATTTTCTTTTTCTCTAGTTGTCAACAATGAGACTGATTCCTAAAACAAAATCCTGCTGGCTCCCGGATTGGACAGACTGGCCCCTGAATTCCATATTCCTTGCCCACCCCGGGTTCAAATGTATTTTTATAATGCAAGCAATGAAAATGCCTGACCTGGTATCAGCACTCTGGACAGCAGAGCTCAGGTTAGGAGAGGTAGAAGCAGCACAGGGAACCAATCAGCTGTGCTACTGTGCTCATGTCATAACAAGGGAGGTGCCGATAGAGAAGAGAGCAGAGATGAGCTCATCACTGTCCTGCTTAGCCTTGTCCAATCACAGGCAGGGGGCGGGTCCATGAAGTGCATTGAACGATACCGGCCATCCTATTGAGACTGAGGACATCTGGGGCTGTATCTATAAACAATTCCCAGAGCCATCCCCCACCCCGGACAGTCTAATGTGAAGTCCCATGAGGCATTGCAAGTCTCTGACATCCAGCGGCATGGCTCCCAGAGGCAGGTGCATGATGGGAGCTGTAGTTTCACTACACTATGGTGTACCACCAATGGTTTAGTGTGACATTTTTGGGGTCTCCATTCAAACATTTAAAGAAGTGAGCATTAAAAGCTCTTTAGCGACAATTGATTTTGGGTTGCTCTGACTGATTTAGCAGCAAGATGAAAGAATAACCTTTGCTTGCTCCTACAGACTTTTAGCAGGAAGGCCAGTTTTTGGGCAGAGGAATTGGTCTTAG